CTCTCTCTCTCTCTCTCTCTCACACACACACACACACACACACAAGTATTATTTCTGTAATCTGAAATTATTTTGAGTCAAATTTTCCAAATTAAATGATTTGCATGATAAGAAGGAAAATCTTCAAAAATAATACTTGTTCTCAATTCTGTAAAATGAAAATTTTTACTTATTTATTTATATTTTATTTTGCTTTGTTTTATAGATGAGTCTCATTATGTTGCCCTGGCTGTTCTCAAAGTCATGGGCTCAAGTGACCCTCCCACCTCAGCCTATAGGTGTGTGTCATCACAATGAGCTAAAATGAATAATTTTAAAGGGCATATCCTCCTTTAGAAAGTAAAATCCTTAGGAAGTAGTGCGGAGAATTTGATTGCTGAAAAATATGCTGGCTAACAAAATATTATGCTTCACCTAGATACATGGGACAAAAATATGAAGACTTCAAAATAAATGTTAAATAGTTAAACATCCAGCAGAACTATAGATATTTATACAAAATCAGACATACAAATTGTGTTTTAAGCCACCTGATCAGTTTTTAAAAAATCTTTATTTTTTAGTTGTTGTTGGACACAATACCTTTATTTTATTTATATACTTATATGTGGTGCTGAGGTTTGAACCCAGGACCTTGCACAAGCTAGGCGCATGCTCTACCGCTGAGCCACAACCCCAGCCCAGATCCGTTTATTAATATGAAAAGGCCATGTGCCAGCACTAACCCCCCCATCAGAGAATAAGGCATTCTGATTCTTACAAACACTCATTTTCATGAAGTATCCAAGAATAACATGATTTTGAGGACTTGAATGATGGAATATGAAGGAAAGAATGAGCTAAAGGTATTTCAAAGAAGCAAATATTTGCTCTGATTTATAGTTAAAAAAAAAAGAATCAAGAAGTTCCAGATGATATAATTCAAGAGAAGGGCATAAAACGGGCATTGGGTTTATGGAGAAAAACTACTCAAAGCTCTATCCATTTTATGACAGCTTAATTTTTCTTCTATCTTGTCCTACCTTATCAAAAACAGAAGTCTGACTGAATTGTAAGAGAAGGGTTTAAGAACAGAAAAATTTACTTGTACATGAATTGTGTTTTGAAGATGAACATAAATATATGGGAATATAGGGAGTTGCTTTAAAAGTTGCCAAATCATAACAATTATGTGCCAGGACTGTCATCAGAAATTATCTCCCTTATTAAGGGTGAGTGAAGAGACTAATCTTTTAATAGAGGCCCTTTTGAGAAGGCAGCATTAACAGAAGAAAACTGGTAGAAAAGGCCTGAGGGGGAAATGAATCCAGTCCAGCCTGAAAAAAATTCTGCTCCAGGTTTCAAAAATTACCCCTTCCTCCTGTGTAAGTGAGATGCTAAGAAGCACAACTGCTTTTTGAATCTAAGTCTGCAAAGGAGCTGTGTAAGAGGGGTGGGACGGAGATGGCACCCAGGATCTCTGGGGCACTTGCTCCTTTCTGAGCCAGACAAGGGTCAGGAGCTGGACTGGGACCAGAACACCAGCAAGGCGTCAGAGAATGTTCTCTAAATAAAACCATGGCTCTTAAGAAAACTAACCACCTTCTCATCTTCTACCTCAGTTTCTCACTGTTCATCTACATAAAGAGTAAGCTATTCCCATTTATTGAACTTTTTTCCACTTTTTCTGACTTCTTCCTAGCTTATTATATTTCTTGAAAATAGTTCATAGTGTTGTGTTGTTCTACAAAATACAATGCAGAAAAGGAAATATTTATTTCTTCTTGGTGTCAGCAAGTGTCCTGTTTTGAATAAATCAGTGATATCAGTCAATGTGAAGAGTCAATTTTGTGATTTCCAGTAGATTCAGAAAATGTTTTTATAACCCTTTAGCCATGATCAGGAGAATTAAATGGTCACATAGAAAAGAAGATATTTTGTTGTGTTTACAGTTTTACAAAATAGATTATTGGTAGTTTATAATTGATATCCTTTAAGAAAGTTATTTATAAGTTATGTTGCATTTTATTCCCACATTCTCACTTTTAAAGAAACTCTGTATTCCAACATTTGCTCTCATAATCAAAGGGATGGTCTCGATGTTTCCCAGAGGATAATGGTTCAAAATGTCTCTTTGCCAGAGAAATGGGCATCTATTGTTATGTGCTTCTATTTTATAAATGAAGATATTATTTTCCAAAAACTTCACCAAATAGAAACAAGAACAATGTTTCTGGGATAACCTTGTCAAATGCATGGCAGTATGAAAAACCAGAGGAGACCAAATGGCCTCAGCTGTGTGCTTATGAAGGGGAGTAGCTATTGAACACGTTTAAAATGAAGGCAAGAAGAGTGTGTGCTTGTCAAAGGGCCCGTGTGATTTGTGTCTGTTGAATCTGAATATCAATAAGGAGACGCATAGAGCAGCTGCTGTTGAACAAGACGACTTGGCATTAATGCACAGTGCTGTGTAATCTGGGTCACGTTCTGTGGACACACCAGTGCGATTGTTACTTGTACAGTTAACAGCTGAACATATATCAGAGACTGGGAAAGACAGAAGTAGATGCTATAGCTAGGTAGCTGAAGACAAGTACAGAAAAACAAGTCCCAACTTTAAACACGAATAGTAAAATACCCAATTGTAACCCAGGCATACACCCATGCAGGGATGTGTTAGGATGTGTATTCATTAAAGAGTTGTTATTTAAACAGTTAATCACCCTCCCTGAAATTTGAAGTGTGCCCCATGCAGTAGAAAGTTGGGAAGATGAGGTATGTGGAGATGAAAGGGTAGAAAAGTGGGAGGTGAAAGGGTAGAAAAAGAAAAGACACATAAAATGTAAGATGAAATAATATTATGACATTTAAGAAGCAGAGAACATTGTCATTTCAAAGCAATATATATTAAAATTCCTAGGATCTGCTGCAGTTTGCTTTTAGGGAACTGAATATGTAACCTTTACAGCATAAATTGTTTTTGGCGGCATAACTAAGAACAGATAATTATGTACACATCATTTCCATTTTCTTTTTTTTTTTTGCATGGACAGAAGTTATTTTATTGATGGATTCTAAATAAAGATTTTGTAATTCCTTGATTTATTTTCCAATATAACCTTATGTGAGTTTAACAAAGTTAATCTGAAGCTTCTTTCGTTCAATTTTTAAAGTCAGAGTTTTACTGTATTAATCTATTTTCTGGCAAGGTATGATGATATTGCCTTTCTACTCAAAACACTTGGTTTAGCTTTTATAAATCTGCTGTTTTTTAAAACTTGACTTTAAAACTTCCAGCAACCTGGTTCCAGTTTTCTTACTCATGCTATGACATGCTACTCAACATAAATCTTATATTCCAACCATGTAAATAAATTAACATCTAATTGTAAAAATGGCCAACATTACATTAGACATTTTATGTCTGTTATATTTCACTCAATTAGCACAACAACTCTATAGGATAGATATGACTATAATCATCTGCATTTTACTGAATTGAAAACCAAAACTCAAATCACTATACCAGGTTATCTCAGACTTTAGCACTCATCAGGGAGCTGGGATGCAACCTCTCAAGTTCAGCCACAGGTATTTTGTGTGTCTACAGTGGATTCTTGGAGCCTATAATTTTAACATTCTCTCTGTTTCAAATGTAGTGGTTAGAAGGTCTGAATTATACAATAAATATAACAATACAATATTTATTGAATTATAGAATAAATAAATACAATAAATTATGTAAATAAACTGATAGCTCACTACCTTATGATGCAAGGAATCACCAGAATAGTTCATCTTAAACATATCTCTCTTTCAAAGTGGTTTTTTAAGAGAAAAATAATAGACATGAAAATTTTGAGTGTTATTTCAACCTATACGCTTAACCATCATTTCAAGTAGAATTTACTATTAATTACATTTTATAGCTGAGGAAACTGAGGCACATAGAGGTTTATTAACTTGCCCAGGGCCATACTACTAGTGAATGGTGGAACTGGGATTTGAGCCTACAGGCCTGGCTCTGAAGTAATTCCTTGATTTATTTTCCAATATAATCTTCTATTAGTTTAACCAAGTTAATCTGAAGCTTCATTTTGTTCAATTTTTAAACAGAGTTTTGCTGTATTCATCTATTTTCTGGCAAGGTATGATGATATCGCCTTTCTACTCAAAATGCACTGTGCTAACACAACACTTATTTACATGCAGTGATAATGCATAAGGGCTTTAGCACTCTGGTCAGAACATCATAAGCACACAGGAAATATCAGTGAATGTCCTATTAGTAGAAATTAATAATAGCTTTTTCTTTTGCACCTTGAAGAAAGTCCAATTCTATTACATTTAAACTTTCTTTCCTGTCTTTCATTTGAAAAAATCCAAAAATCTTTTCACTTTGTCACTCTACAGGAAATTACAAGATCTGAAATTCTTAAAAAAAAAAAAAGGAGGAGGAGGAGGAAGGAAAGAAATTCCCTTAAATTTAAGAGAAGTCATCTGTAGCTTTAAAGAGTATTTTTTTTTTAAAGTTGTGCCTTGCTCTTCTATGAGGTGGATGGAGTTTATGTGGTTTGTGCAGTGCCTTACAGACTTAATGTCCAGTTAAGAGCATGAAACTCAAGGAGTATTAGAGAGAAATTCATCAAGTGGCACTCATTTCTTATTCCTGAGCAGGTAGACAATCCTCTTTCTTGGAGTTGTAACAAATTTGCTCTTTCTCGCTTCCTGATTGTTCTTACGTGTGTAGAACAATTTTGCAAAATTGGTTCTAATGTATGGAATCAGTTGAATTTTAATAATTAAAGTGGAGCTATTATTTTTTGCTTTTGATATGTTAAGATAGATTTTTATTAGTGTGAGACTCCTCTGACCCGTTATTTTGGGACTGTTAAAAAAACAATGAGAGCACTTCATAATCAACTCTGTTTGGAACCTTGATATGAATCTGTTGTGACAGGTTTAAAAGAAAACTACCATATTAAAGCAACCATAAATTAGAAAAGTAATTTATAGCTACCTTTCATTAGTCTATTACAACTTGGGGGATAAATTGAATATTTTCAATGTAATTGCCACATCTAGACTAATTTAACAGTAATTATTTTCATTTATATTCAAAGCATGATCATGGCAGGTGAATGAAATGTGGTTTGACAAAACTATTATTAGAGCTACGTGAATGACTTCAAAGAATTTGGATAATCTTCTAAAATCCATTAGAAATTACTAAGTAATTCAATTTGAATAGAACACTTGCCTTTAAAAAACAAACAGGATCCTTAAAGATAAACTATGGCTTATTTATCTAATCTTAATGCCATTATCCAGAAATAATTGAATTTCTTCAATATATCAGAAATGGTAGATGTTATTCATCAGGGAGTAATAGGAAAATTTAAAACTTTGCTATTCACTATGCAAGTTAATATTCATACTGCGACAGGTTATAAAGTGCCTACATAATTATTAGTGCTGGAAAAATGTATCTTTGCTTCTTCATAAGTAAAAATAATTATCAGCTTACAGTATAATAGTCTCTACTTCTTGTTTCCTGCATCACACAGCAGGAATTAATTTTAGTTTATCTTTCTATATACTTATCTTAGGCAAACCAGATTTTTCTGGAGAATTGCATACTTCTTTCATCTTTAGTGATTTTCAAAAATTACCATAAATTCGTGGTCATATTATAGCAATTTGTGAAATTTAAATGTACAAGAAAAGTTGGAGCTTCTAGTTCTATTTTAAATTTCATTGCTCATTTGTTAGGAAATCTCCAAGGAACCCACTTTTATTCTTTTGACAAATGAAAATGAGAGGGTTTCTTTTTCCTTTTTCCATCATTCTCTATCCACATCAAGTATTCACTGTCTATACTTAGACTGCACTTTGAAGTTTTCTTCTATGGTATGTATCAAAATTCAGAAACATTGTTTTTGTATTAATTTATTTATGCTTACCTGTGAGAGCACAGGACATGGCTGTAAGAACCATGAGTGTCTTGTTAAGACATAAACCAAGTTACTTAAGGAAGAGTTATTTAATAAATCAATTAATGATGAAATTTTTATAGCATTTTTTGTAAGAATCTTCCATCCTAACAACATTTTAAAGTATTTTTTTAACTTTTGCATCATTTACTTTTTTCAATACCCTTTAGAATAGTCCTAGAGTTATATAAAAGTTAAGAGAGTAGTAGGGAGGGATCCCTTATTCCCCTACTATTGACATCTTACATTAGTGTGGTAGATTTGTTATGACCAAGGAACCAATATTAAATATTATTATTAACTAAAATCCATAGTTTGCTCATACTTCCTTAGCTTTTACCAAATGCTATTTCCCTGCTCCAGTATCCCATTCAGAATGCCACTTTGCTATTGGTTGTTATATATTAATAGACTTCTCTTGACTGTGACAGTTTCTCAAGTTTTCCTTGATGTTGACGATATGGCAGTTTTGAGGGGTACTGGCCAGATATTTTATAGTTTTCCCCATTATTGAAATTAATATCGTGTTATTATCATGAGACTGAAGTTATGGGCTATTGAGACAATGATCACAGTGTCATTGTTGTTATGTTGTACCAGTGATACATATAATCAACATGATATGTTCCTGCTGATGTGACCTTAACAACCTTGG